CTGGGACCCGGACCCCAGCGCGGATCCTCTCTGGTGGTGAGCGTGGTGACCCGAGGACCGAATCACGCCTCCCGCTCAGGTGGCTTTTTCGGGAGCGGCCGGGACCCTGGGCAGCAAGACGCACCGCCCGCTCGTTCAGCTGCGCGCCTTCATTCATTCGGTCCTCTCTCTCCTCGGCCCCTCTGCGCCCCCTCCTCCCTCTCTTCCTCTCCTCCGCCCCTCTCTCTGGCTCTCTGAGTCTCTTCCTCCTCCGCTTCCTCCTTCCCTTCTCGTTCACTTTCTCGCCCTCTTCTTTCCTCTCACTTCCTCCCGCCCTAACATCCTTCTTCCTTTACCGATGGATTCAACCCACACTTAGAAGGCCTCTCGGACACTTGGAATGAAAGCGCAATTCAGGGTCCTTGGTCTCACAGAAAACTCATTCATTCAATACAAATAGTAATGACGGGGCATCGTCCTTGTGCCTGGCCCGTGCTCTGTGGTGAGCGGTTCAGACAAGGCCCCAGCGGGCAGAGTCACAGTGCAACCAGGAGCAGATGATGCCCAAGTAATCATACGTATACTGGGTGTACCGGCTAATAATGCGGGTTTTTTTCAATAGCTGGAGTTACACATGTTGATATAGATGTGACCTGATATGTATGTGATTTTGTATTGCTCCTTCAGATTCCCACTTGTTCCGATCGATGGCACATGCACCTTCTGAGCAGCACTTCAAAACGTACGAAGAAGTGGAAAATCGGATCTCTAAATGGTCTGCCTTAAAACAAAAAAAAGTTCTATTGGGCCGGTATCCACAAATTACCCGAAAGATGGGGGAAATGTGTAGCTAGCCGTGGACATTACTTTGAATAAAGCACTTTTGATGTTTCTCTTGAAATTATCTTTGTTTTCTTTGATTACAAAATCCGCATTTTTAACCGTTTAACGGCTACTTGTACAGTATACCTGCGTCACAAGCCGGGCAGAGTGGGAAGAAGAGAAAGCACTGGACAGGAATGTGAAGGGGGTGGAGGGGGGGGGCGCTCGCGAGGGCGTGGAGGCCACAGGGAGGCCTCTCTGAGGTCCTGATGTCTGAGCTAAAGCCTATGGGAAAAGAAATAAGCTAACAGTGATGGGGGACACGTTAAGGGCTCAGCAGTGCTATGCGTGGGCAGGTTCTGGGAGCACAGAGTGGGACAGCCGGCCCACTCCCCATCTGTTCCCATCCCACAATCCACTGGTTGCTTTCCCAGAACGCACCCCCTTCCCTGTCCCAGAACCCACCCCACCCCCCTGTCCCAGAACCCACCTGGTCCCTGATCTAAGACCCTCCTCTACCAAGTCCCGGAACCCACTTCACCCACTTTTACCATGACCCAGAAACCACCTCTATGGTCTCCCAGAATCCACTTCTCACCCAGAACCCACCTCTGTCACGTCCCAGCATCTACCTGGTCCTCGCCCCAGAACTCACCTCTATTGCGGCTCAGAATCCACCTCTACTGTGATCCAGAGTCTACCCGCCCCACGACTTCATCCCTTTTCTCAACCCACAGCCCGAAGGACTTTATTTCCCCATTTTATTCTGCAGAAATAAGCCAGAATGCCTACAATACCTCGGGAAATAGTAAAATGCACCCAGATTTGCTCAAAATGTGGACGATCAACAGGCATTGGATTTAGAAACATTTAAACAAACCGTCTCAGCCTCAGGGGTTGAGCCTGGGTAGGGTGGAGAAGGTGGCAGGCATTCTGCCCATCTCACATTCTGAAAGGTGCTTAAACGTTCAGTCACAGCATCACACTGATGGGGACAAAAACAAGGAAAATATT